GGAAAACTAAGGGTGGGCAAAAAAATAGGATAGAACTGGAACCGACAGGTACCCGAAGTTTTGGTTTAAGTTCCTACCCATAACCGACCCTCACATGGTAGGTTCCGATTCTAAAATATTAGAACCAGTACTGTGCGGTTTCGATACCAATTCCACCACTACATAAACTAGAACCGAAACCGAAATAAAGACCCAAGTAGGAACCAAGGCTAAACTGTAATTTTTGTAAACTTTTGAAGGTGTATTTGTCATTTTCATAAGTAATAGAGCATAATTGTGATTTTTCCCACGTACCTAAAAATGGTACCTATGTTACAAGTTCCGATTCCAAGCTTTTAGAGACCAGAACCGGTCGATTCCTGTTCCATGGGATTTGGGTAGATACCCGGACCCGTCCACCCCTAAGAAAAACTATTCTTTACACCTATATTATTATATCTACATTCCCTATAAAAAAATATATTAAAATTTTAATTTGGACATGAATTATTTGAAGATCATCTTTTCCTATAAATAATGGCAATATCAGACTTTACATAAATGAAATAAAAAATTGTAAATCTAGATCCCAAGAGACCATCTGAAACTGGCGTGCAAACAATGCTCAATTAGTTAATGCCTATAAAGAATCAGACCAAGAAATCTACCAGGAAACCCATATTTCCCAACAAACTACACCAAATATGCATGAAACCCTACTAAACTATTTAACTCAATACACCAATTATCATTCTAATGGCACACTTTAGATTCATATTTCCTGGATTCAGTTTTCCAACATTAACAACAAGAGCGGCAGCTCATAACAAGTCAACGACCTCTTTATAATTTTACGTTTTCAAGCATGGATGCAAGACAAATTTTGTGATCCAATCTTTCATACCATGCCAACAAGCATTAGTACAATACAAGCCAACCAGATTAAATGTTTGAGGAACTCAAGGCCATTACTTTGCATTGCTCATTCATGGCCAAAAGTTGAGCTTCCTTCTTGTCAAGAAGGACAGTTAACCTCAGATTATCTTCCATAAGTTTCTGAACTTCAGCCTCCTTTTGCATCTTCTCACCCTCCAATTGTGATGTCTTAGCAACTAGCCTGCTTCACAACAGAATTACATGGTAAACTCTATGAAAAATTCCCAACCAAAAAGACAGTATGTTGCTTATTAGAGTTGTACACAAACAAGAGTTGAACATGGAGACCACCATTATAAAAATGTCAAACGTTTTTTCCCATATAAAAGCTTTTCTTTTTTCTTTAGTTGGGGGTGGGGGGTAGAAAACTTCCGAAGGAACCAGTTTATACAACAATTTTACGCCACATAAACATGAATGATTTAACCATGCTTCACTCAAAAGGATAGTGGAAGGCAAATGCTTGACAACATCGAGCAAATACTCAACAACAAAGAAAAAGTAAAGTCAAGCATTTTAAAGCATACTGACCGTTCAAAAAGCCTCTCAATAGTTTGAAATTGCTTCTCTGATGAAAGAAGTGTTTCCCTCACGCTGATAAGCGTACCAACAAAAGATTTCAGAGACTCAAATTCCTGTTTCACACGACAAAGCTCCTGTTCATTTTCTGCAGCCCGTTGCCTCTGTCTAGATGTCTCTTCAACCAGATCCTCAACTCTCTGCCGCATGTCATTCAGAACACCATTTGTACCTAGAGCAAAATGCTCCATCTCCTCCAACTTTAAAGACATGTTCTCAATTTGGATAGCCTTCTTCCTAATTTCTTCCTGACCTAAAGTTACCTTCTCTTTTTCAAGGGCAGTTTCAGTTTCTGCCATTATAACTCTCTTAACAAGAGCTTCCATAACATCTGTGACCATCTGAACAGACTTGAGTAGTTCAACAGTATAAGCTCCATCATGTTCATCGATAGAACCTTGCTGCTTACCAATTCCAATCCATGTCTCTTCGTCAGGACCGTCAAATGAAGAAAGATCAACATTCCTAGACCAACCAGATAAAGGGGTACCATTTTTGTCAACAAGACCAACCCCTTCTAATTGTTTGATGCCACATGATGTATGGGCTAAATCAGGGATAGCCATGATTCTTGCTTTTGATTTCAAGAAAGCCAATAGCTTTGCAGTAGTTTTTACCCGTCGCCAAAGAACTTCTAATTCCTTCTCTGTATCTCCATCAGAACCCACTATACATTCCTTTAACTTCATAAGGTTCCTCTCAAATATCTCCTCTGTTGATGGCAATCGTTCTGTCTCCTGGTTCCGCATTTCATGAGTTCCTGTTAGCAGAGACCTCATATTTGAGAATTCCACATCTTCCTCAGATGCCATTCACTTTCCTATATTCCACATAATTAATATGACAAATCAAATTCTAACTTAATACAAAATTATTAGCAATCAAGACTAAAGCATCAAAAAGATACAAAAAGGATAAATCCTCTTCGCAAAAAAGTAACAAAACAATATACATAGTAGCTATCAGGTGAAACTACAAATATTAACAGACTGTAAACCACAGAGAAAGCTATAGGCACAAGATGTTTGCAACCCCAATGTGTAAAATGAGAAAATCAAAATATGGGCTTCTACCTAGATATGACTTTTAAAGATGAAATAACTCCCACATTTTAGTCTTTGTATGCTTTACAATGTACATCTTAAGTCCCTCAATATAAATTAAAAAAAAAAAAAAATGGAAGAACCTGAATGAACTTGCATTTTCTAGACTTTGAAGATTGTATTATCTGGTCCTGGTGTCACTGTGACGATATGGTAGGTTAAAGAGTCAGATTAGCCTATATCACTTGCAAATCTAGAACAAAACTATGTTCAAAATACATAAATTCCTCCAAGTTCAAATCAATATGGGGGAAGCCGACACTCAAGCCAGCTCATAATAAGGAATTGGATAATATAAAACGAATCTTTCAGCTGCTACAGACCCAAAAAGCTTCCCACTACGGTGACTTCCTAAGAGGTAATGAAACACAAATTCCGCTACAATTGAAAATACAATAGCCAACTTCAACTATAGCACCAGTAAAGATCAAACAAAAAGCAGAGACAAATTCAAACTTCTGATTTTTTTTTTTTACAAAAAAAAAAAAAAAAAAAAAAAAAAATCCCAACAAAAGATAGCTCAATTAGAAGACTATAATACCCTAATAAAGAGCTGAAACTCGAATCAACAATCTGAACTAACAAAGCCCTAATTTTGATAAATCATTTACTAATCAAGTAGACATATAAACATTCTAAACTTTAAATAAACCCTACGATTAAACGGAGAGGACAAATTAAGGCTGAAAATTCGCAAATAATCAAGACAAAAGTAGACGTAAATGCGGAAGAATGATGATCGTTAGAAGGCACCTTGTGATTTGAGGAAAGCAGAGAATCGGATAGGCTTGACTACAGCTGATAAAAATGTGCGCGTCTGGAAAATGAAAAAGTGAAGAACAACCAACAAACGTTGGAGAACGTAGCTGACGTCTTCTTTTTCTACGATTCTTTCCTTCTTTTAATTAATAGAATGATTTGATTTTTACGTTTAGTCAATTTTTATTTCAATTTTTTTCTTAAAAAAAAAAAAAAAAATCATCTTATTTGATAAGAATTATGTATTATAATATTAAAATGCCTCCCTTAAATGATTGGTTGATACGGTACTTTAAATTCTGCATTTTAATTTATTTTAATAATATAAAATAAGGACAAACAATTCGTGTGTAACGCAGCTGATTCTTTAGATCTTGAAATTATCGATCAAATAAACAATTTAATGACTATTCTTATTAGCAATCAAAGAGAATCGAACTTAAGACCTCTTAAGTAATACATTCAAGAGTTTTTGTCACCTCATCCGACCACCCATAAGTTGTTTAAGCTATCTTATTATTGCAACACACCAAAAGATAGAAAATGATTCTTTGGGTCTTTGGGTCTTGAAATTAACGATCAAATAAACTATTCAGTGACTGCTCTTATTAGCAAATAAGGAGAATCGAACTCAAGATATCTTGAGTAATACATTAAAGAGTTTCTGTTATCTCATCCAACCACCTAGGAGTTGTTTAAGCTATCTTATTATTGCAACACACCAAAAGATGGAATTGGATCTTAATGACTTAATGTAGCTAACAACAGAGACTAATATATATAAGAGTAATGCTACAGCCACCAATGGTAGTGCACCGAATTTGTGTACCGAATGACGTGACAAAATCTTGACTGTTGATTAATACTATGTTAAAATTAATCAACGATCAGGATTTTATCACGTCATTCGGTGCATTACCTTCAGTGGCTGTATTATTTTCCTATATCTAATTATCTATCATGGATACTAAAACCTTTTAAAGGAAAGTGTTTCAATTTGAGCCAAATTATGTATGATAAACAACTAATATAGGTTATAGATGAAGATAGGTTCATAATCACTTCTTATAACTTTTTCTCACAAACGCGACGTGACAATTTACATTTGGTCAAGTGAGACTCATCATTGGACACACGAAACTCATTACGAGTTGACCAATTGTATATTTGTGAAAGAAATTTAATAAAAATGATTTATCAATGTAATATTACCCATAGAATGCCATCATAAATGTCAACTCCATTGATTTTTACTAAACTTAAGGCCCATGCAAATCTTGATGTGATAAACTTTTTAAGTGTTTTATTTCATGGAACTAAGTCAAAGCTTGTTCCCGTCCATGGTCAGTCACAGCTAAAAATGAGACTAGTGTTGTTATCATTGTAGTTTCTAAGGTGCTTGGAAATAAAATTAGAATCCTTAATTAAACCATACCATTGCTAACCAGTCTATGCATATACTTTCTTCTTTAAAACGGTGGTACCAAAACAACGAAAATGGCTTTAAATGGAGATAACATCTGTTTCTTCCAAATACATCTTTTAATTTAATTTATTTTATTTATAGTAGATTGTCCAAACTTAACAAGCCTAAATATAAAATAAAAAAAAAAAAATAGTGTCTTAAAATAACTGATAAAAGAAATTCTTGATTCTGTGATGGTGGTACCTTAATTCTATTTCTAGGAGAGAGCTAAAATAAGCACACAAAATTTTTTATATATAAAAATTTATATCAAATTTAATTAATTTAAATGATCAATACACAACAAATTAAGAAAAATGCTACATCCACAATCTCTTCTCACAAACTTTCTCTCACAATCCCGACATGACAGCTCACAATTGGTCAGTTCGTAATGGATCTTACCTGGGTCTCACCTAATAAATTATGGTTGACCAACGAGCTGCCATGTCGAAGTTGTGAGAGAAAGTTTGTAAGAAGAGGTTGTGAGTATAACATTCTTCGTAAATTAATCCTAATACAGTACATGCGGTGGCAATACACCAGCACAAGCAGGGTACTCAAGGAATAATACTAACCATGCACACCTATTTCTGCATCTGAAATGAACCTTCATAGCAACCGAAAGAAGCCAAACATCCACAACCAATATTCGCCCAAACAGGGCTAAACCAACACATGTTAATAAGAATGCATCAGCTGCCCAGGCTCAGCCTCACCCTCTGTTTATTTGCAGGCCGTCTTCGAGATCGACTAAAGTATTGAGGTTCTGAATGGACATGACTTCTCTCCGCATGTTCCCTTCCCCTCTCATTACCATCGCTTCCTAGCTGCCTTTTCATATGGGAGTCAGATGTAGGGGGATTTAAACTTTTAGTTTTCTCCATGTCATAAGACAATGGTTCAATTCCCTGCAAATCTGGTTCTGGAGCAAACCCAAGAGGTTGTTTTGATTCATCCATTTTTCTGAATGTAATTGATATCCTAAGGCAAGTACAAGATACACAAAGTTAGAGAGGCATTTAGCGTCATTCTTCAGAATTTTTTTTCAGTTAAAAAAAGAAGAAGAAAGAAATCATAGTAACCAGCTGTTTTTCATACAATTTTGTAGAATATACAGAAATCATTATCCTACTTTCGAATAGACCAAAGAAAGAAAAAACTTATTAAATTATTTCATTTTCAAAGAACATTTTCAACTTCTTGTTTACTCAATAGTTTACTCGTAGTTCAAATATAAGATTATTGGAAAGTCAACCACAAAAATGTAGGCCCCCAAGCTATGGACCTTCCTAATCACCCATTCAACAGTCTAAAGTATAACAGATTTTTGTGTTAGCCGAAGAATTGAATATAAAATAATTGTAATTTGTTGAAAAAGAAAACAAAAAGTTCAAAAGATACTACCACCAAAGGCATTTTTGCTATTCTCATCTCAGATATTGGTTTAAAAATTAATAGCAGAAGCATTATCAAATCTTAAAAATACCACATCCAATTTCCCATTCTAAGTTTCCAAATCAATTTTTTTTTAAAACCATGCAAAATAACACTTAGTGGGCCTAAAACTAAAAGAAGCCATGCCTACAAACAACCACATATAACATATTATTGTTACAAGGTTGCGCCTTCTACCTCTTTGTGGGAACTGCAGGCACACAATGCTTAGCCACATCAGCCGCATTTCCGTTTATGACAAGAACAGATCTGAAAGAAATTAATATTCACTGTATGAATTTAATTCAATTATTTAGAAGAGCCAAAACAAAGCAGCAATCGTGGAAGAAAGGACTTTGTACTTACCCCACAGGCAAGCGGATTGCAATTGAACCAGTAAACTCACCAGCACCTGCAACCTTTAAGTTTGATCCGAAAAGAATATTACACTCACTAAGAAATGATACTGTACAAAAAGGTCGAACAAAATCATGGTTATCAATGTGAGGTGGTATGCAATCCCCTTCTTCATAAATGTTGACAATACAGCTATCGGGCACACAGGTAGGAGGAAGTACATGCCACCGGACCAGCCTTCTAATGATCACCTTAAATAAATGAGGTAGAGGATCTACAACGTCATCTTGGAGAATGCCTGGTGGATTACCATTTTTATCCTGCAACAATGATGCACAAATCATAAACTTTTCAACCATTTACTACAAGAAGTTTTGATTATATTGGAACAAGACACCATTATTAACAAAACATAGTAAGATTACAACTGGTTTGCCCCCTTTTTTTCCCTTCAATAACGAGAAATTCTACAACCATCCTCACATGTTCACTGAGATCTAAACTGGCAGCTACTTCCAGACCTCTGACCTTGGTAACAAAGAAACTTGAAGTATATGATATACCAAGTAGGAAATTCAACCACTTAAACCTCTTAATTCAAATCAAAGGCTTTTACCACTAAACTCAACCCTTGGGGTCAATAAGATAGATTGATTGATACTGTTCATTCAACAATAAAAAGGAAACTTACTTTCGCATAATTATAACAGCAACCAAATTGAATAGTGACACGCCCTTTGCCTCTCATCCACTTTTGTGGTGCTGTGTATGTTCGCTCTGCATATATCCCAGAAATATATTCATTATTGTCCATCAGCAATGGACATTTGCCAATGACTAAATAAATATATGGTACATGGAAAAGTAATCTTTTCCAATAAACAAGAGGAAAGGACTACCTTCCAATTCAATCTATCAAATGATATAATGTTAATTGTGATTTTCCCCAAAAAATAAAATACAGTAAAATTTATTACATAATCTTATCCATAAAAAAGAAAAAGAAAAAAGCATATACACAAAATCAAAATCAACAAATATTAACCAAGTACAAAAGACATTAATAAGATTGTCAAGTCACAACAGAGGAACAAGACAAGTTAATTGTTACTGTTACAAGTGAAGAAATAATGGAAGGTGAATGGCATTGAAAAGGAAATTCTACAGTTCCTTAAAACGCTCTAGTAGTATGAAAGGGTCTAAAGACATGGGACTTACAAGGATTGGATTGGTAACCTATTCGTTAAAACATTGGTAATGGGCTGGAGTGGCCATTTGAAAGAAGGAGATTAGAAAGGCAATACTCAAATGTTCTAGAGGTAAATCACTTGGAGAGATTGATTCATAATGGCTATCTACCAAGATTAAAAGAAATGTTAAGTGGAAGAATTGAAGAAGTGTTTGGAGAACTCTTCCAAAGTAGAGATTTAAACTCAACAACAAATAACCTAAATTTATCTCATGCCAGGCAAAAAGGGATTCGTTCAAAATCAACGAATATAGACGAATTAGTTCAGTAACCAGCCTGTATAAGGTTATCACAAAGGCAGTCTCCATAAGACTATGAAAGAAATAGACTTAATTTAAGCTAAATATTCCAGCAAAAGTAGAGGAATGGAATCAGGGCTAAGTCATCACTAACAGCATGATACTGAAACAGAGACCAAGGGCAAGTCTCTATCTGAAATGGTGTACTACCTACAAATGAGACTGAGAGAACATCGGCCACCAGCTACGTTCCCCTGTTTCCAGGCAACAATGGAGTAATATATGTAGGGTCTCCAACATGCGTAAGTGCATACCCCTGTCTTTTGGTATGGTTATTGACAGGTTCTGTGCTTTTGAGGGAGTAAGAAAGAAGAAGTGTTATGGGATTGTGGGTTATGGCTATTTTGTGAGCCCTTAAGGTGGAGAGAAGTAAAATAACTTTTTGAAGATTTTATGGGAGGATGTCCCATCATAATGGAATAAAGTTAGATTTTGGACTTCTCTTAAGGCTAACAAACCACTAGAATTTTAGACATGCGTCTTTCTTATTCATCCTTACAATTGAAGGGAAACAATTGTTTAATTTAGAAATTCAATCTATCTTTGTTGTTTTGACATCTTTTTAGGATCCCCTTTAATGGCTCATACATGTTTTTCAATTCATTTAGTCAAGCTTTATTGGTTCCAGTGAATATTTTATCCTTTTTTTGGTGAACATCTTGTTCACCATTTGATATATCTCCTTTCATTCAATGCAAGTATACTTAGTTTTTTATCAAAGATTATAAAAGCATTACCAGCCCAAACCATGAATGAAATATCTTTTTAAAAAATTAAGCTCCTAATGCACCAATTCCCAGTCAAGCTTAAAGCCAAAGAATGTTCCCCAAATTTAGAACATAGAGTTGTAAGATTCTTTCAGTAATATAAATCTAAAATTAAAAAGGAAGATTGTTTCAATAGTATTAATAGTCTCACTCACACAAGCCAGAACAGAACACTCCTATTATGTCATGTCATGAGAGCTAGATAGAAATATAAGCACAATCATCAGTCATAAACTAATTCTTACAGCACAATCATCAGTCAATAAACTAAATCTAACACTGGAAAATAATTTGAAATTATTAATGAAATTGAAAGCAACCCTTAGTGGTGTATTTGAGGCAATAAGTTGAATCTGCCACTTTGCTGCACCAGGAGTAAATAAAGGTTGCAATATTTAGTGAATCTGTACTCTAAAGTTATTGCCAAACAAAAATTAGGTTCTCATACCAACCACGTGTACATACAAAAAAATAGTGCAATGTGACAATAGTGATGTAAAACATGGCACACCAGACAATTTAGCACAAAACTCAGCAATTTTCAACAGAAAGTCAGAAACCGTGTACACAAATAATTAAATAATTACATCAAATTGAAACTCAAGAACCAAAAAAAAGGATGATAGCATGTAGCTAGGAAGGCACATACAAATTACACTAGTAAACAGAACTAACCTTTCAGTTCTCTCTTTTTCCCCATCTCCTGAAGTTCATAAACATAGTCAACAATCCTCTTCTGTTCGGCAGAACTAAAGACACCCATATGGAGCTCAAGTCCCGCCAAAATATTACATATTTTCCCTTTAATCTTCTCCAAACAAATGAAATCCTTCTTCCTCTTTACATTCATAAACCGAATGTACTCTCTCTGTTCCCTAGACAACTGGGGCTTCTGAAGAACTTCTGAACTCCTCAATTCCCCAGACGAAATATTAATATCAACCATCGGTTCATCCAATTCACGTTGTTCTTCTCCTTCCTCAAGCTCGTCTTCTTGAGCCATGTCAGCCCAAGACATACGAGGAGTTGGTGAATCAGAGGTTAATCCACCAGTTGTTGAAGCTTTTGGATTATGTTCAGAACACCCGTTTGTCCCATCTTTCCAACTAGCCAGTGAACTAATTTCTGCAGTGTCTTTCCAACTTCCACGAGAATTTGTGTCGCACTTATCATTTATGTTTTGAGGCTCCATAATATCCAGACTTGAACAAGCTTCATTCTCGTCCAAATTTAAGCATTCCAATTTGCCATTGTCAATTTCTAATATACAAAATAACATCAAAAAATTGTAATAAAAATTCGAAAACCCTAAACAGAATATTTTAGAAAAAGTTCCTCATACACAGAAGTATGCTGCCAAGAAGGCAGCAATAGTGTCAAGTATACCACTAGAATTTTCTCAGAAAGTAAACCGGGAAGTCAAATACCTGCGTCGAGAGAACGGATACGATCGGAGATGATTTCAGTGCAGTGGTGACAAAGATCTCTGCATAGGTAAGGTTGCCATGTGGCGAGAAATTCGGAGGCAATTCTGAGTTCGGAGGGCTGGTACTGTAGAAGGAACGGATCGATCGTTCTGGCTCTGTTGCAATTATTCTCCATGGCTGGAGGTGAGTTTAGAATCGGCGAAATTGCTTGAAATCCAGGAAACAAATCTAACTATATAGATAAAATATCCAGAGAAAAATATCCCCCCCCAAGGTTTCAGCAATTTACCTATTTCGGACAGTTATAACGATTTTAATAAAAAAGTTCCCCACACTTCCTGAAATTTAAAAGAAGGCCCACCCAAAACTATGTTGGTATAAGTGCATCAGTACTGGTATGGTCGCACCCATCAAATATTGCACAATATATTTATTTAAGCACACTTTCTAGATCGTTAACGCTCTCACTCCCAGCACTGATTCTGTCTCTCATTCAACCGGTATGGCTCGAAGCTTCAGGAATGTCAACACCAATAAACAGAGTGATGAGACAGCTCGGAATTAGTCAACTACAATTTATCAGCTGAGATCTATTATGAACTGACCAATTATGAGCTGCTACGTTGAGATTGTGAGAAAAAACTTGTAAAAAGAGATTGTGAGTGCAACATTTTCCAAAAATTTATTGTTAAAGCCTAAAACTGAATAATAAGAAATTTTTGTTATTTAAAAAACTTTTACAAAAATATTGTTATTTAATAAAACTTTGGGGGTTTATTGTCATTATCTCAAAATATAAACAAGATAATAGGATAAGCGCATGCGCGTCCAACCATTCGCGAGTTGAAGCCATGAACACCAACATCCTCCACAATCTGTCTTCAAAATTACCATCATCATGCATCCCCATCCCGTTAAAACCTTCAACCACCACAGCACTAACTCAAAATCTCCTAACAAACAGTTTCTGTGGACGATCTATCAGAATCATCCCCATAAGCTGCACCACTGGCAGTACAAATAACACTGATGGCAGCGATGCAGCTCCACAGCCAGTTCCTCCTCCGCCTACAAAACCACCAGACACCGTGGAAATACGGTTTCGGAGACGCTCAAGAAGACAGAAACAGAAAAGGGAAGATGGTGTGAGGAATAAACAAACCGTAAAAATGCAAGCTTCAGCTAGTACGACTCCTCCCAAGAACTGGGATGATATGAGCCTCCAAGAGAAGGCAATTGAACTCTACGTCGGAGAGAAGGGTATGCTTTTCTGGCTCAACAAGTTTGCTTACGCTTCCATTTTTATCATGATCGGGGCTTGGATACTTTTCCGGTTTGTAGGACCTGCGCTTAATCTTTATCAGTTGGATTCTACTCCTCTCTCTCCTTCCTCCATATTCAAGGGGTCCTGATATTCAGCTCCCCACTGCTCAATTATTACCAGCTCCAAAATCAACTAAACAATATTCCTTTCATCCTTTTTTCTTCACTATATATTTTTCTTATATCATCGAGAATTAGCTGCGTAGTGTGCATCATCTTGAGAATAATAATATTTGATTATGAAAACCTTCTTCCCCTGGTTGAAAACAAATACAATGCTCAGGAATCGTTTGTAAGTTTAATTTCAAATATAGTACAACAAACTAAAATGAATCCATTTTATTGTGGTATCAAACTAAAAAGAATGCAAACAATACTGGAAGTTGAGCCTGCCCAGGCGCAGATAAGCACCAGAAAACTAAGCCACCGCGTCAGGACAGCCAATTTTGGCAACTCATGAATGATGAATGTAACCCACTATCACCACCGTGATAAAACAAAAACAAGCCCTGAACATAGACTGGTACTCGCACCACTAAAACCCATTTTCTACTATAAATGGAAGCTAACAACGCCACAAATTTGTATAATTCTAATATGTCCATGACATTCTTCAATATCTCTTCCAGCATGAGATACAGAAAGAGCTCCATTATCTTGCATCTACAATGCACTGGCTCAGTTTGAGTCTCACACCCGCATAACAAAAACTTAAAATATTCAGAGCAACTTAATGATGCACAATTGCACATGCCTCATCAAAAAATGGAATAATATGCTTAGTTAACATCAAAGACCCAAAGGGAAAAGAGAAAGGGTTCAGGTAGAAAGAATTCAATATTGCAGTTTGCATTGGAGAAGGGGAGCAGAAGGGGTCAATAGTCAGATTAAAGCTAATTTTTACAGCACAAGATCACAGATGAAGCTCGTAACTAAATAAAGATCTATACTAAGAACTTGTACATACTACTTTTTATTTCAATGCTAACCATGATAATATGTGCACTAGACCAAAGTCGTTCTCTACAATATATAGTCAAGCAATCATACACTCAAGAATGCAAAATCAATTTAAAAATAAAATGCTAAACATTGCATCCAACTAACCATAAATTGGAGCATACGAACCCCACAGAAACTGAGAGCATATGAATCCCACACAAACTCGGAACAAGTTCAGACCATACAATATTTGAAGAAGTAAAAACAAGTTCAAACAGGTCTAAGCTTCTAAAAATTTCCTAAAGAAGCATGTGCAGTAAATCTCTCAGTTGCCAAGAACTCATAAAAGCTAAAATAGGTGAACTTGTTTATTCATCTGTAAGAATTGATCGATTAAATGCAGAATCTTACATTACAGACTAGCATACTGCTAGACAATCAAATAAAACAAACATTATTATTGAGGGAATAATTTCCATCTGTAGGACAGCAGAAATATGTGATTTTTACTGAATTTATGTCAATAGAGGATCCAGTCAGACACTATAACCAATGACTCCATATTATCATACTATCATATAGCACTTCTTGTTTTCAATATATCAGCATATTATATAACTTGTAAAATTAAGATGCAAATAATTTTGCGGGCATGAGAAACATTTCATGAGTATCAATCTAATATGGCTTTGAATCATACTAATAAACTCAAACACTAACCTATTGCATTCTGATTGAGATGCATAATTATGATTATTACAATATGTGCACACCCAATCTCCATTACCCTATTGCTTCACTCTGCAAGGTCAAAATGTTTCCAAGCATTACAGAACAATAACAAGAAATTTGTCACCATAATAGAAAGCTTTTGTTTGATGATATAGTACACTAACCATATTTGATTAGGTGCAACGTAAAATCTAAAAGCCTATATTTAGTTCATCATAAACCATCAGACATTCAAGATCTAGGTGACAATTTCTTCAGAATACCTGGTTTAAATTATATATAGAGGTCAGAAAGGGCGAATGCAAATCATCAGCATCATAAAACTATCAACTAATTTATCACCAGCATCATAAAACTATCAAATAATTTACTTCTTGATCGAGAAATTCATTTATGGTATTGAATGCTTGAAGAGTTAGGTCGCTCAGATAATCTTAAAAGAAAGTTGATAAAGGAGAATCCCCATATCACGGTACAAAATAGTCAAAAGAGTATTTTTATGATCTTAGAAACAAAATGAATAACTTTTTCAAGATAATCAAGGTGCATGTAAAAGCATCAAACTTAATTCAAATTACCCTTTCCCAAGGATAGCAGGTGCTGTTGCTTGATATGTAAATAGCAATATAGCATATTTGCATGCCCAATTGTAGCTGCATTAAAGCTTACACCTGGGAATGGAGCATATGCTCCAGTCTTTGCATCAACAGTGAGATAAACTATTTCCTCAGATTTGATATGGTTTTAGCTGCACATTTGTCCGGATATTCATTTAGGAGAAAGAAAAAGGTGGGAGGAGGTTTTGTAATCATAATCACAACATTGCACAGATTTACAGTGCCAAAACTAAAACTGATTCCTTACATGTCCTGAATTCAATCTCTTCTTATCACAATCATGAACAAAGTCTTATGACACCAAACGCCTTTTTCCAAGTGCTATACACCCTAAAGTAGGAAAATAATGACAAAAGACAAATAAATTCAGACAGAACTCAAAGATGAATTGTATGAACCACATCATTTCAAAAGGTAACTCATGAAACTTTCGGGCAAAAAACAAAAAAGTTATGTTTACAAAGTTGAATCATAGAATTGAAAAGATAGAGCATTTAGAATTAGAAAGAAAGCACGTCTGATGGCTGTTATAAAGGGTATAGACAACTAATAACGGAGGAAAAGAAGAGCAGAGAAGAAAGAAATTGAAAATATTGACCAATTTTAGTATTAGAAGTTCATGTCATATTAAGTGCATAGACAATCCGTCACAAGCAAAAGTGGTTCTACAACAATTTGTGGGGAATGATACTGCAAACTAACCGTAGGGACAAATAACAATCAAGCTGGTTAATCAACATTTACCCTTCAATACAATGATGCCAAAGAACATATCACAGGCGAAAAAAATTTCTGCTTTCAATTAAAATACAAACATAAAGTAAGCTTAACAAGAACTTAAATCTTTTTGCAGTGTGCAAACCAAACCCCAATGCAACAATTCATCCCATAGGAGAGCTAGACAATCAGTCAAACAAAAATACATCTTGGAAGACAATAAAAAACATCAATCAGCTTATAATTGTTATTTTTCAACCCACAAACACGGATAATCTGCAGCCAAGACACAACTGGTACACAAGTCCTTTATATTTGCTGACCAGGAATGAGAAGAGTACCAGGGGTCGAGGAGCGTTGCATTCCTTGCACTACCAATAAAAGCCAAATAGTATCAAATACAAGATGAGATCTAAATTCTTAATTATCTAACAACAGTAGAAAATTATGAGTATATTGAGGCAGGTAACCACATGAGTAATGCTCCATTTACACCACCCATTACATCATTTTCATTACACCATCACCATTTTACTAATAATTATTTTATTATAATATTAAAAATTCAAAATAATTAAAAATGTGTGTGGATGTGGGATATGTCACATCATGGTGTAATGAAAATGGTGTAATGGGTGGTGTAAATGTAGCATTACTATTACCACATACCAGTGCACACGAGGAATAGTTATGGAAACCACAGTTGCATATCCAGTCACCATTACGCCATCCTTTCATAATGGAAGAAGGCCGAGTAGTGGCATTCTCATATGGATGTCCATAACTATGGTTTCCATATAAAGGCCAGAAAGAAGCAAAGAGGGTAGTAAAAATGATATTAGTTACCGGTGAAGATCCAATTGCCAATACGAGGGAGCCATTTGGAGTGAGAAGGGGCTATGGTATCGAATTAAAGGTGAGGCTGCTAAACCATCTAAAAGCGTAGTTTCTGTTCTTACACCCACAGCACTCCCAATCTCCTCTCCCTTCACCTTGTTTTTTAAAAAAAAAAAAAACTTCTCCTTTTTCTCTTTCTTCAAAGAATCTATGTAACATGATAGTACTACTTCAGAAAACAGAGAAGAGAGCTCCATTTGTTGTTATTTTCCGTCATTTGTCTCCGAGACTTCTTTACTACGTATCGAATTAGACGCAGAAAAGATCATTAGGTCGCCCCAAATCAATAAACCCCTGAGGTATCCCTTAAATAACAAATTAATATAAACAATCCATATTCTATTGATGAATGAAAAATAAAACATAAATTGATAAAATAAACAAAAACTTTAAAAACATATCTCCTTTGACACCGCAAAACGCAACAGATTTGGTGAAGACATTGGTGAATCCCCATGGTCATAGCCTTGGCTAAGGCTGTGCAACTCTGCCTCTTCGTGTGCCCACGCCCCTCGTACAGCAACCCACCACTCCAGTCCTGTATACTCGCACAACTCCCCACCACTTCACTATCAGCACAGTCATAAATGAACTCAGCACAGTCATAAATGAACTCAATGAGCTCTTCCAGTGCGAAACATACATCATCCCATAAAAAAAGAACGAAAATTTTGTTTTATCAAAAAAAAAAAAAAAGAAAAGAATGAAATTTTAGCCTTTCCACACCCCCACTCCTGCACAGTTTTCTCTTTGCCCCGTGTGAAACTAGTAACTACTCTAAGCCTCTTGCCGTCAGCCTCCTAAAGTTTTTTCGGTTAGTTTTAACGGAATCAAGAGTAAAAGAGTAAAATGTACCTAAATTTATTAAATTAAATAAATGAATTTTGGTAAAATTAAGTTATTTCCTTAATTAATAATTAAAATAAAAATCATAAATTATATGGAAGCTATTCTACAATTTTAATGTTTTATAAAAACAATAAGGTAGGAGAAATTAAAAAATATTTTTAAGTTGGTAAGTGAAGGGAAGGAATAAATAGACATTTTAATTATAAAATTGAATGGGCTCCTAACATATATCTCTATGGGCATATGGGTGGTTTTTAATACTTTCAAAATAAAATGGATGAGTTTGATATTAATTAATCTCATAAGATTAAATGAAATAAACCATATGAAAGAGATTTATTAATTAAGGCCAATGAAGAGTTATTGGATAATACTGTAACTGCAGAGGGAGGTTAAGGCTAATCTTTGATCTTTCATACCTTTGGGTTAAATAAACCTTGAATTAAATAATTATCCCAAAGTTTAGATTGGTTTTGGGATTAATAACAATAATCTCCCTTAGCTTTACTTAGATAACAAAAATCCCCAATAATTAAGTATTTTGTGTTGAAATACATGTGTTATATGGTAAAATCATAAGGTGTGACTAAGCACACTGAAGCATGTACTCTTGCCATGTGTCCTATGACTATACATCTGCCCAGGTTATGTATTACACATAGAAGGAGTTACTTCACTTGTAAGACTGTTAAAGGTTGTTTCAATAGGATTAAGCTGTCATCTAGGTTGCGTGACACCTTGTGAGATAACTACTTTACTAGTAAGTCTCCAATAAGGGTGGTTTGTCAAACCACGTGTCATGCGATAAGAGGTTGCTTCATGAGCCAACATTATAAATAGGGATCCCCTATCACAAATCAAGAAGCCAACAATTTCATTATCTGAATAGCTAAAGAGCAATTGTCTCTCTTGAGAGTGAATATCTTTTGTAAACATAGATAATAATTGACGTAAGATTTGCACCTTGCATCCGAACCACTTTAAAAACAGTTATTGTCAACTTTTTTTTATTTATTTACTTGCATTATTGTCATTATTGCTAGGGGTGTTCAGAAAAATTCGAAAACCGAACTAAACTGAAAAACCAGACTGGTTTCGGTTCGGTTTTCTGGTTATTCAGAGAAATCGATTCGGTTTTTGGGTTATCCAGTGGTTCGGAAACCAATTCAGTTTCTATTAAGAAAATGCTTGAACCAGTTTTCTAATTCGGTTACCGGTTCAGCAGAATTTTAAAACCGGTTAATGGGGACCGGTTTTATAAACCAGTTTTCAATTAAAAACCTAAATACTCAATCCTATTTCTCTGTTCTTCGTTCTTCAGTATGCCACACTTCACACACCGACCACTTCTCATTTTTTTTATAAGGATAGAAACTAAAACCTAACTTCGTTCACTTGAATCCGCCGATCCCACTCTGCCACGCCACTGCCTCATCTGAATCCTTCTTCAGCTTCATCAAAAGTCAATCTTCACTCACAGTCATAGTCATGTTAGTAATATTTGTTTAATTTTCTCTGTTGGCTTGGAGTTTGGTGAGAGTCTGAGTTGGTTTGTATAGAGAATTAATGAAAGAATCTGTTTATGTTCACTGGTATGCACAAAATGAAGTTTTAATGGTGTAAACGTATTGATTTGGTCAGGGAAGTTTAACAAAATGATAAACGTGTGAGTGAGACTTTATTGTAGGGGGTGGGGTTGAGAAAAGTGAAAATGATATGGTAGTGCGTGGCCTTAGTGGATAACCCCAACTTTTTCGTAGTTTTTAGCAAGCAAAAATGGTTGAAATTTGATGAAAAAGGAAAAGAAAAAGGATGAATTAAAGTGAAGAGAAAGAAAAGAGATTTTGGTTGTGGTTGACATGAAAAGGGCCAAAAGGCACGAAGCTTAAGGCATATGATATAATTATTAATTAATGAAGGTAGGTAGGTAAAAACAGGCTCCGTTTCGCACATTATTTCTACCCATATTCCTAAAATATTGTTTGTTTTGTTATTTGAGAAATATTGGTATATTTTTTTAATTACTTTTAGACCCCTTAAGTTTATTAATTTCATAAATACCCAAAAAAAAGTTTAAAAATTAACAAAAACACCTCCACCCACCCATACTTGCCAGATTCCGACAAACACCGTCGGTAGTAGCTAGAATCTGTCACAATGGCCTACAAACGACCGGAAATGGCTGGTAATTCACCGATAAATGGTCTTCGTTAACAAAAAATGACGGTCATATCTTTGCGATAGCCAGATCTGGACTTTTCCGACCGTCGACGGCTAGATCTGGCCGTAGATTTTGCCTTTTTCGGCTAGATCCGTGGTGGATCTAGCCGAAAAAGACCATATCGACGCCCTACCTGCCAGATCCGAACGGTTTGCATCGTAATGCCATTTTTCGACCAGATTTCGGCGATGGTGGCTGAAATCTGGCACTGTGGGTGGGTGGGGGTGTTTTTGTTATTTTACAAAATTTTTACATATTATGGTGTTTAGTTAAATTAGCAAACTTAGGGTTTTTTTTTTTTTTATAAATTTTATTTCGTAATACTTCCCTATTCAACTACCCAATATTATTCCCAAAATCCTATCCAAAATAATAAAACAAACGAACTCTAGATTTTTCAATTATTTTTTTGGGCAAAACTGGTTCAAAACCAATTGACCAATTTTGTTAACAGGTTTTTTGGTTTGGTTTTTAATCGATTTTGGGGATAAATTGGTTTGGTTATGGTTCATAAATTTTCCTGAATCAGAAATCTGGTTCGGTTTGAAAAAAGGGGGGTTTGGACTAGTTAACTAGTTTTGAACATCCCTAATTATTACACATTGGTTCAATATCATGTTTTGCGATTTCGCATAAACTCTCCCAAAAGGCTTGTGTACTTCTCGTTTGTACGAATCATAACAACAACATGATAGAGGGACAATTAGATAAATATTCAATAACCTATCATATTATAAACTCTAATAAGGTCCGCTTCGGAGTTTCATGGTAGCGGATCTAGCGGTTATGAGGGTAAACCACCGTAACGGTTTTGAGGGTAAACCACCGTAGTAGTTTTGAGGGTTTTTTATTAATGATTTTTAAAACACCCAACCTGTGCTTAAGGGTTTATTTTCCAACAATTCTAACAGTTTTTTAAAATGATAAATTTACATATATACCCATAAAAATATCTAACTTCAACCAGTACTTGAGAGTTTTGTTTTTTTCAATTACAAGGTAATGATTCTTTATTTGTTTCCTACTTATTAATATTTTATAACTTCAAATGTGATAAAGTCTCATTATCCTTCTTCACCATTCTTTGCAGCATTTGGAATGATTGAAAAATCGTAGCTCCACTTCTCCAAGAAAGCATCTAGAAATGAGAATTTAATAAATTTTTTTTTGTTATGATTGCTTAAATTAATTTTATATTTAATATGGTTGGAGACACACATAACATGATTAAATTTTGTTTGATATAATTGAGATAGTTTTGTAGTAGATAGGGTATTTGTGAAATAAAATTTTAAAACCAACCAAAATATCCCGATTTAGGGTGTTTTATAAACTCCTCAAAAATACACTATAATAGTTTTGAGAGATTTTTGAGCCAGTAAAAATCAGTGCATAAAAAATTTGGTAAGTAATAGTTTTAGAACATCTCAAAACCAGTTTAATTGAAAACCTCTCAAAATCAATGGATAGAAAAAAAACTTCCAAGCAAACCCTAGAAATTAGACGTTATTGAAAAACCCTTGGTTTTACAATGGTGGATTGGTGGTGGGTGAAGGATGCTTCCATGGTCAACTGCTGTATTTCAAAATTAGAAATTATCCAGGTTTATATAAAATAATATAATATAATATAGTATATAGTTGAAAAGTCAGGCATAATGTTGGAAATAGGGACACATGAACCAGTGTTGATTCAACACATAGACAATAAATATTTTGATTGAGTTTTGTCATCATAACAAGAGGGCAACCATAGTATTAAATTCAATATCTTGTAAACTTGGAGTCGGGTTGGATTGGAGATATAACTAAAATAATCATATATTAAGTATGGAAGTGAATGGGTGAGGTCATGAAATAGACCCATTTTTTGGTACTTTATTAACACTGTCGATAGTTAATCACCGTTGGAAGAGTCAAGATACGCGTAAACTGGTATATATATATATTTTGTTAAAAAAAAATTATAAATTTAGATAAATTTGTTTGATCATATGACATAATTAAAGAATCACTGATTATATTTATCTGAACCCCCTCCCCCTCTTTTTTTAATGATTAAAGATGTTCAGACCAATTTACACGTATCTTAACTAATTTATCGAGCCCTAAAACTATCGACTGTATAAGAGTTTTGTTTTATTGACTATCTTAATTAATAACCGATAAAAAACTTGAACTTAAGATCTCTTGAATAATACATTCAAGAATCTTTATCAAATCACTTTGGTAGTTTTAACTTACATAAATGGAAAAGTTGTCGATCAATGACAGTCAGATCGATGAATTATCGGTCAGTTCTGATTGTTTCTAAGTTGTTGTGATGGATTTCGGTAACAATCGACTGTGGTTATCAGAATCTAACAACTATAGGGTATAGGGGTATTTTTGTTAATTTTTAAACTATTTTTCTAGGAGTGTTTTATTAAATTATTAAATTTAAGGGGTCTAAAAGTAATTAAAAAAAAAATATTATTGTCCAAAGAGTTAGGTATTTTGAGAAAAGGATAAAGAATAAAGTACGAAAAAATAAAACAAACATACTCTGTAATATATTTACTATAAGAAAGGAAGGA